AATGTCTCCCCCGTGTCTTGGGTGGTGATATGGCTTAATGGTAGCGTGTTCGACGTGTGTTGCAGAGGTTCACGGTTAGAATTCAGCCACCAACCTGGTTAATACCCCGGTGTGTATTAACCGTAAATATCCTACTCGCCATCAACTTCACAGTGAACGTTAGAGTTCCCATGACATCATTCGCTAGAGTAGGCCATTGTTTGCACACGTCATCGTCCAAATTTGAAAAAATTACCCGCAAATTCCTCGATTGGAATCGTTTAAATTATTGGCCCGTATTGCGAAAACATTGCAGGACCTTCCTGGAAAACAGTCGTGAGATTAGGTTTCATACAATAATGTCTTTGGTTATTGTCCCCCTGGTGGTGTGTGCACACCGGTGGTTTTGTGCACCCCGGTGTGGCATGCAGGTGTCCCCGCCTGGAAGGGGACGAGTCCCGCGCGCCCATCATGTGCCTCGTGTGTGGCACCATGCTGTGCTCGCAGAGCTACTGCTGCCAGAGCGAGCTGGACGGCGAGGACGTGGGCGCGTGCACTGCACACACCTACACTTGCGGCGCTGGCGTCGGCATTTTCCTACGGTAATAAGCGTGGGGATCCCCCCCCCCCCCCACCAGGACCCCCCCCCCCCAGAGGGGGCCAAGGCCCATGGTGCGAGTTCTGAATGCGTGAGGAGCCAGCGGCACCTGCGTGACTGTGGCACTCTGGTTAGACCTTTTGTGTCTGACTGTGCAGGAGCGGTAGTACAGTTGCGCTACGAACCCGGCGACCGGAGTTCAATTCCCACTCAAGGCCAACACCAGTGACGATTATCTGAACCGGTCCTAAGCCTCCCCTCGGTCGACTAAGTCTTTCAGTACCTTGTGCGCTGTGTAAAATCATCAGCTTCAGGGAGACAAAGGTGGCCGGACGTGGTGTTTTCCACCCACCCCCTCGTGTGCCCTGCCCGTCATCATAGGTTCTGGTCGCGAACAGCGCTTGCCCCAAAAGTCTGTTGAAGGCTACACGGGGGATCTTTGTGTGTGCAGGGTGCGCCTCTGCCAGGTGCTTCTGCTGTCCGCGAAGACCAAGGGCTGCTACTATCCGCCACCGTATCTCGATGACTACGGCGAAACCGACGTGGGTCTCAAGTGAGTCCTGCTCTGCTCGACTCCTCCTCCTCGTCTTCCTCTTGCCTCATCTTCCTCTTGCCTCATCTTGCTTCTCATACTCTTGTTTGTGTATCGTGGCAGCAGAAGGAACTGGGCCTTGTGCGTGTGTGGCGATGCGAATAATGAGTTTAAGTGGCTCACTCGGCCATCTGTCGGTGAGCTCACCGTGAGTGCACGGCCTGTGGTTTGACTGCAGAGCATCATCACTGCAGCGTGACGCCCGCAGTGTGCAGAGTGGACGATGCGGACCCTGCAAAATGGTTTAATTTTTTTTATCATGTTTGCTGTTCACAAGCACAAAGTCCAAAAATGTAAAGTGGCCAGCACCAAACAGCACTGTCACAGTTGCGTTAGATAACAAATGAAACGCATTTCTTGTTTGAGCAAGGGTATTATTGTAAGAGCTTGGGAAAACAGATAATGATGGGAGGGAATTCCAAAGTGGAGCAGTGCGAGGTGACCTGTAGTGTGGCGGTTGAACACCGGGTGGGTGAGATGAAATAATAGAGTAGGGTAGAGTAGGAATCAATAAGTGAAATTCACAGGAACTGTAACCATAGTATTAGCAATAGAAGAGCGATAAGGAGGTGAATGACCACCAGTGAGAGTTAAACCTTGTGTGTGTGTGTTACTACTGGTACCGGACTCTCACCATACTAGCCGAACCACCTCGCCTCACGGTATTCCAATGACCCTTAGCATCGATCATGTCTCTCAATTTCTCTCTTGGCCTTTCTCTTTTCCGTGTTTTTCTCTCTCTCACTTCCAGTTCACTGCCCTTTTCACAATTTGGTTCTCAATAATGTCACTGCTCTGCCGCCTGGTTGAACGCATGCGTCTGAATGGGTTTGCTTGTTGGCCGTGTGTCCACTAGGCGCGGGAACCCGCTGCACCTGTGCCCCGAGCGCTACATGCGACTCCAGCGGCTGTGGCAGCAGCATGGCGTCGCCGAGGAGATTGGCCACGCGCAGGACGCAAACCAGTCCTACACCAGCATCGACTGGCAGCAGATGTAGGCCACGCCGCACCGTGACTGCCAGCACGGGCGATCATTTGCCCGCTTGCGGCGGAGCTGGCGGCGACTCCGCGTAAGGAAGCGATGGGATCCTCTGATTTTGAATTAAACGCGTTGCGCCGTAAAGTAATTGCGATGTCTTTGCGTGGCACACCGTGGCTCCCCGAGCCAAGAGAATGCACGGCGAGGGGGCCAGCGGCGCTCCCGTGACCGGGCGTCTCTGGATCTTCACGGCCACTGGCGGGGAAGGTGGATGGCCGCAGCGTGTTACGGGTTTCGAGCTTAGGCATCCGCGTGGTGGTGGTGATGGTGGCCGAGGCGTGAGCACTTTAAACAGAGCGGCACGATTTTGACGCGACCGTGAGAAGTGGCGCTGTAGAGGGGCGTGGGGGGGCATGTGCGGGTGAGAACGAGGGCCTGCGGACGCTGGACAACTATTCTGCATCCACGGATCCCCCCCCCCCTCTCCAAACGAACCTTGCTGTGCCTCGTGACCACATTGGGGCCCAAATCTGCCCGGGGTGCATGCTCTCCCTGTGTATGGTGGTGTCAACATGCAGACGTGTACCCGCGCGTGTTCTGCTTTTGCGTGTACACGGGTTGAATGTACTATATTGTAGCATACAACAATAAAGCATTATCGCCCATGAGAGTGCCTGAGTGCTACCGTGGTGGTGAGGCTGGTGCGGACTGAGTGGTTGCCCTCCGCCAGCCGAACTCTGGCCGTGTAACGAGAGCTGGAGCAGTGCGTTGAGGGGCATGGCTGAGAGTGTGCGTTGGGTCGCGGTGTGGAGGCTGCTGCCGCATTTGTAAACCCAGGCACTCGGCGTCAGGAGGCACTGGGTCAACAGGCCCCCTCCCACGGAGTTGCCAACTCGGCGATTGTGTTGCTCGACCTGAACACTTTGGAAGGCTCTCTGGACGCATCGTTCTCTTGAGCGTCGACAGGTCGGGTGACGTTCTCCTTCTCACGGGCGTCCTGGATGGCACCTGACGCACGCATAGTGGACACGTAAGGACACGTGTACACGCATCTTAACTCTGTTGGTGTGCATGTGCACAATGAATATCGCAGCCAAATCTAATCGCAATGGGTCGCGGCCTTTTACTCTCCTTCAGTAGCCATTGTAGTAACTCCGCGCGAGGCGATTTACTTGGTCCACTGACAGTGGGGGTTATGTGTCAATGTTAAGCACAAAAACTCTGGAACTTGCAAATTCTTGCTGCCCCTATCATTAAAACCAGTCACCGTCTGGACCGTAATTCTTTAGGACCCAAATAAACAAAATTGGTATTCAGGTTTTTCCAGTTGTAAGCGGAGTGGACGATGTGGTAAGTTTGAGCTCTCTACCGACACTTAGAACGTCAACAGGAATGACATCGGTCGAAGGCACCGTGCTCTGCACTCCGGCTGAACGATTAATAGATTTGAAATCGCAATTTGAAACAATGCGATTAGCAAATCGAAAAGGCTGCGATTTTTTGAGATTTGAAAAGTCCTATTGGAATTGTTTAATTTTGTATTTTAAGTTTATCTATTTAACTTAACAATAGTTATATGTTTGATTGTTCGATTTCAATTAAAACATTTTAATAAATACATGTTGAAAGCAATTCATATCTTTTAAGTTCTCATCCTTGCATTAGAATATATAGAGCAGTTCATATTTTGATGGTATGTGGTAATGCTCCCATCACATGTTTTAAATCTATTACCCAGTGAATATTGAACTGAAATCAAATCACAATATCTGTCAGAATAATCCCAAATCGTTCAGCCCGACTCTACACTCGAGTGTTGTAAAACTCCAGAGCTTGTTGCGCGGCAATGACAAAGTCACCTCGCAATGCGCCCGACCTCGCCCGATGTCGGAAGCTGAGCAGGAATTGACCCATCGATTGTTTAAAAAAAAATCTAAAACGGTAAGCGGCCAGCAACAAACAGCACGATCAAAGTTGTCAGAAAATAGGTCACGTTGAGCAATATTGGGGGGGGGGGGGGGGGGGTGAATACGATGGGAAGGAATTCCAAAGTGGAGCAGGTGCGAAAGGATGAAGCTGGAAGAGAAGTGAAGTGAGCTGCAATGTTGGCTGTGTGTGGCAAGGCGAGCGAGTTGTTGTGGCCTGCAGTGTGTGGTGGTCATGAACACTGGGATGAGACGAAACGGCTTGGATGGATGACATGCACAGCTGGCCACGTGCGCAGCAGGTGGCCCCCCAAGGTGCATCGTGGGCAGTATCCAGGACAAAGCACGCGGAGGTTTGTCCTGGATACTGCTCGGCCACCACGACCGTGCGCCGCTGCGTTGGTGGGAGCATCTCGAACGACCCCACGACCCCCAATGGCGTATTGGAGGCACTTAGCCAGCAGTGGATTGACCAAGGGCTGCTGTTGGCATGTGCAACACAGGTGACGCAACCGTGGTTTGGAATGGGCGGACGTGTTCAGACAGCCTGCCCGTTGTTGAGCATGGGACAGCCTCGCTCTGGCAAACAGTCATCATTGGTGCCCTGGGGGCCCAGCTGCAGTGTGTACAGGTCGGGGTGAGGTGCGGCGGGGGGGGGTCTCTGCGTCTATCGGAGTCCCTGCGTTCACAGGGGTCCCCGTTCCTCTCCGGGCTCTCCCGTCCCTTTTTAGGGCCCTTTGGCCACCGTCCCTACCGAGACCGCGTGTCCCCGCGTCCTCCCCGTACCTCTCGTGGACCCCGTGTCTTCTCCCACACCACGACCACCTTTCCATTCATTCGGGGGGCCCTGTGACCATCCTCGGGGCCCCCGTGTCCCCTCCCCCTCGACCCCTCTCGGGGCCCCGTGTCCCCCCACCCCACCCCACCCGTCCCCTCTACCCCGGCCCCTCTCGGGCTGCAGGGGGCGTCGTGAGGCCGTGAGGCCCCGCGTCCTCGGCTCTGCTCTGCGCATCTCGGCGCGGCGCCCGCCATGAGTGGGGCCACGCGCAGCGGCCTCGACATCTCGAGGCGGAATCCCCAAGACGACTTCGAGATCATCCAGAGGATCGGCAGCGGTACCTATGGCGACGTCTACAAGGTGAGGGGAGGCCGCGGCGGGGGGGCGGCGGCGGCGGCGGAGACCGCGGCCCCGGGCGGAGCCGCTAGGACAGAGCGAGGCTTCGCGGCCTCGGGCCCCGTCTACCCCGATAACCACTACGTCTGTCTGCGCGTCTCCTCGCGTCGCTGTCTGCCTGTCTCCTCGTCTGCCCGAGACCCAATGTCTCTGTCTCGGCGTCTTGCTGTGGACAGGTCTCTCTGTTTATCTGCTTCCCTCACCACCCACCCACCCACCGTCTCAGTGTCTCCCTGGTTGTCTATCGCTCCGTCGCCTGTCTCACCACGTCCCTTCTTCACTGTCTGTCTGCTTCTCCGTCTCCCTGCCTTCTTGCTTGTCTCCCTGCCCTTAATGTCTCCTCGTCTGTCTCCCTGAGACCTCGTTTCTGTGACTGTCTCCTCGAGTCTCTCCCGTCTCTACCCCCCCCCCTTCACGTCTCGGTGTCTCCTGATCTCTCGTCTCTGTCTCTCCGCGGTTCTCTCTCTTTCTCTGTCTCTCTCTCTGTCTCCACGTATCGTTTGTCTCCGTGTCTCCTGTCATCTATCGCGATGTCGCTGCGTCCTGATGTCTAGAAGCCGCCAGCGCCGAGGACCTGGGTTTGACTCCGTATGGGGAACCCGTGTTAGTGCGTTCAGTTATTTCCATGTGTTTGTGTTTCCTGCAGAGTGCGTCTGTTTCGTGTTTTTCTGTCCATGTCTGTACTTGTGTGTCTTTACCGAGTCTATGTTTACGTTTGTGTGTGTGTGTGTGACTGTGTATGTTATGTGTCCGTGTCTCTTTGTGTTTGTCCGTGTCTGTGTGTGTCTCTGTCCCCATGTGCCTCGCTGTGTGTCTCTGTCCCTGTGTGTCCCTGTATGTCTGTCCCTGTGTGGCTGGATGTGTCTGTCTCTGTCTGTCCCTGTGTCTGTGTGTCTGTCCCTGTGTCTGTGTGTCTGTCCCTGTGTGTCCCTGTGTGTCCCTGTGTGTCTGTCCATGTGTGTCCCTGTGTGTCTGTCCCTGTGTCTGTGTGTCTGTCCCTGTGTGGCTGGGTGTGTCTGTCCCTGTGTGGCTGGGTGTGTCAGTCCCTGTGTCTGCGTGTCTGTCCCTGTGTCTGTGTGTCTGTCCCTGTGTCTGTGTGTCTGTCCCTGTCTGTCCCTGTGTCTGCGTGTCTGTCCATGTGTGTCCCTGTGTGGCTGGGTGTGTCTTTCCCTGTGTCCGTGTGTCTGTCCCTGTGTCTGTGTGTCTGTCCCTGTGTGTCTGTCCCTGTCTGTCCCTGTGTCTGTGTGTCTGTCCCTGTGTCTGTGTGTCTGTCCCTGTGTGGCTGGGTGTGTCTGTCCCTGTGTTTGCGTGTCTGTCCCTGTGTGTCCCTGTGTCTCTGTCCCTGTGTGGCTGGTTGTGTCTGTCCCTGTGTCTGCGTGTCTGTCCCTGTGTCTGCGTGTCTGTCCATGTGTATATAAGGCAACTGAATGGGGTGTCAGCCACACCAGCCCCTTCATGTGCCTTTCTGCCTTTCTGACATCAACAGGTGGCTTGCTAACAACACTTGTCCCTATTATATAAGACGACGTGTTGTTCTGTGTGTGTATATACTTATCTGTGGGTATGTTTGCGTCCCTGTGTGAATTCATGTGTGTGTATGTATTAATGTGTGTCTGTGCTTGTGTGTGTACATTCCAGGCGAGGAACATGCGTTCGGCAGACCTGTCAGCTATTAAAGTCATCAAGCTGGAGCAGGGTGAGGCTGTCCGTTTGCCCTGCTGCCCACATCTTGCTCCTGCTGCCCCGTGCTTCCCACTGCTGCCCGTGTTTTCCCTCCTTCACGTGACTTCATCCTCCTACCCGCACTTCCTCAATCCATGAGACCCGCACCGTGCCCCGGCCCCCGCCATCCTCTGGAGGCCCAGTAGCCATCACCCACATTCCTCGGCCGCTGTCAGTCACGTTATCGGCACAAGTGGAGGGCTAGCACGCCACCCCGGGGCCGGTGGGCTGCAGCCACCCTGGGCAGGTGTGGCCGGGATGGCGTGCGGCAGGTGACACCGCACGCTGCCCCGGCATTCCTCCTGGGTGCTCGGAATAGCGCGGGGGCCGCGGGGCCCGTCCCTGGAGGAGGGAGGAATGAGCGAGGAATGCGGCTGGCGTGCGAGCGATCAGATGTCGTGGATGCTGCGTAACCACGGCGGACGAGTCACCGCGGCGGCATGACTGCGTTTGCCCTGAGCCGGGGACTGTTTAGTATGGGGGAGGGGGGTGGAGGTCCTGGGGTGGGGCAGGGGTCCCGATTACCACTCGGGGCAGAAATGAGAATGACATGCGGTCCGCAAGGAGGTGCGAACGGCTCCACCGCCATAGCACGCAGGCGTGAGCTGGGGCCTGGGCGAGGCTCCGAACCCGCGTTGTTGCCGAGCCCTTCCCGCGAGACGCGTCGCTCTGTGTTCCGCTCCGTGTTCTCTGCCGGGTGCTGCAGGAGATGACTTTGCCGTCATCCAGCAAGAGATCATCATGATGAAGGAGTGCAAGCACCAGAATATCGTCGCATACTTCGGCAGTTACCTGAGGTGGGTGCCAACTGGCGCAGCCCCACAGCTGACTGGCTGGCGCTTGTGCACCACCGCCTGTGCCTCAAAAGTAGAGTGAATTCGCAGTGTGTCTGAGCTGTGTGTGTGAGTGGTTTACGTGGGAGCAGTGTGCATGTGTATGTGAGCGGTGTGTGAGCAAGCGGCCATGTGTGCTGTGCTGGTGGTGCAGGCGTGACAAGCTGTGGATTTGCATGGAGTACTGCGGGGGAGGCTCTCTACAGGACATTTACCATGGTGAGCCACACAACGACGGGTTCTTGCGCTGGGACGTGTGTTCATATGGAGTCCACTGGACTTATCACAGTGCGTTATCCCTACACCTGTGTTGGTTTCCAGTGACCGGACCTCTCCTGGAGCCACAGATCGCCTACATGTGCCGGGAAACGCTGCAGGTCGGACACATGCGAGCACAGTGGCACACGGCACACATATACAAAAGACAAAGACACGTAACAAACTTTTGGGGCAAATAAGACCCAGTGAGAGTCGTTTTCGAAAAATTGAACTTGGTCATGAAAAAGAACACAGCAATGTGCCTAGAGTGAAGGTTTTCAATCAGTGCATTATGGTACCTGCCATGACGTATGGATTAGAAACGTGGACATTAATTACGTGCGTGTGTGCGAAGAAGCACGGAGAGGTGAATGTTGGAGTTCTACTGAGACCCAGAAAGGGGAACTCCCATTAAGGGAACAAACACAAATCACAGATGTCACATTAGCCAGTTAGTAGGGGAAGTGGGTTCAGACAGGAAGCTTCGAGGTGAGAATGGGGTCGGGGCCGGTGACGAGGCTGGTGATGGAATCGCAGACAAAGGGGAACGCACTCGAGAGGATGAGCACCATAGAGACGGAGCGATGAAATCATCAACCCGTGTGCAGGAATGAGATAGTGTGGCATCACAGGACTGTGAGAGATGGCGACGGCTTTGGGGAGGCCTTCGTCCAGCAGTGGATAGACCCTGGCTTATGATGAAGATGCTATGTGTGGATCCCATGGCCACTTCCCCGCCGTGTGTTGACGATTGGTAGGAGAAGGGAGCGTTGAACGCGGGTTCACGGCACTCATGGTTGTGTCATTGTGTGCGCTGCAGGGCCTCGCGTACCTGCACAGTCGCGGAAAAATGCACCGCGATATCAAGGTAGGCTAAACGCATTCGCAATTCATCATTTACACTGCACCTCCGTGTGCCTGCAGAGCGTGCAGTGCATGGCTGATGGTCTCCATGCGCAGTTGCCCGCTGTGGGGCGGTGACGCGGCCCAGCAGTAGCCCGTTTGCTGCAGAGGTTCGCGGTTTGACTCGGGCAGGTCACCCTTGTTAATACTGCGGTGTGTAGCAACCGTAAAATACTATGCACTGTCTGCTTCACAGGGGACGTCATTGAAAGAAAAGTTGTCCATTTTGTGCCAGCGTCAAGGAATCTAATTTGCCAAATTAAAAAAATTACACTGCCAATTGCTCAGTTGGAAAACGCATAGTCCTTGCCTTTGAATGCAATAACTCAGCAGGACCCTCCTCAAACGTCTTAAGCGAGGATTTGTTGGGTAACTGAACGTAATTGCAATGACAGTGTCGGTCCAGAGTAATGCCGTGCGTCTCCGTGCATTCTCCTGCAGGGAGCCAACATCCTCCTCACGGACCATGGGGACGTCAAGCTGGGTGAGGAGGCCTTGGCCCTGTGTCCCCTCGCTCCTGTGCCCCCCACGCCCCTGTGCCCCCCACGCCCCTGTGCCCACACTCGCACTGGGACTGGCCACACGTGACTGTTTTTCTCTGTTTGTGTTCAGCTGATTTTGGAGTTTCGGCACAAATAACTGCGACGATTGCCAAAAGGAAATCCTTCATCGGCACGCCGTACTGGTGAGCAGCGTGCCTCGGCCAAGGCCGGGCCTCCCTGGGGGCCTCGCTAGGCCCGGCTGTTTATGTTTTGAGAAGGCATGCATGGATTTTGACTGTACACGTGTGTGTATGTGCGCTTGTGTTTAACTGTGGGAAGAGGTAGTGTAGCGGTAGTGTAATGCAGTGGTTAGCGCGCTGCGCTACGAACCCAGCGACCCAAGTTCGATTCCCGCTCACAGCCAACACCAGTGACGATTATCTCAACTGGTCCTGGGCCTCCCCTAGGTCGATTCAGCCTCAAATTAGTACCTGGTGCGGTGCGTAAACATTGCCACTGGGGAGACAAAGGTGGCCGGGCGTGGTTTCTGGCCACCCACCCCCTTGTGTGCCGCTCCGGCCTTCATAGGTGTTCGCTAACAGCACTTGCCCCTACAGTCTGTTAAGGCTATATGGGGGATCTTTGTCTTTGTTCAACTATACATGTGGCTGTGAGTTGGGGAGCAGTGGCGCTGTTGTCGCACTGTGCTTGAACCTGGCAACCTGAGTACGATTTCAGTTCATGCCCACGATCGGTGAGGAATAGCTTAGCCTTAAATTAATTCCTGGTGTGGTATGTAAACATCACCAGTGGGGAGACTAATTGTGCTGGCCACAAAACCCATCGTGGGATGTGCCGGCCTTCATAGGTGCTCGGCAATAGTCTAGCTGTATATTTGCATGTGAGTAATGCAGAGTAAGTGTAGGTGCTTGTGTGCATAGTTGGTGATGTGTAGGTGTTGTGGTTGATGGTGTAGCAATGTTTGGGGTGCGGCCGATATGTGTGCCACTCATGCGGGTGAGTGTTGGTTTGGCGTGTAGCCATTGTGGGTGTTGCTGTGATAATGTATTTGGATGGCGCTTTAACGTGCTGCTGCTGGATTTTGATGGTGTGTGTGTTGCTGTAATGATGCAGGATGGCACCAGAGGTAGCGGCCGTGGAGAGGAAGGGCGGCTACAACCAGCAGTGCGACGTGTGGGCCGTGGGGATCACCGCCATCGAGCTCGCAGAGCTGCAGCCGCCACTCTTCGACCTGCACCCCATGAGGTACCGCGTCCCCACCCCACCCCAGCCACCACCGGCCACCCGTAGTTATCCGTGGTGACCCCTGGCGTGTGATTGGGTTGTGATTGTGATGTCTTTTGTGGTTCTGTTCCTCTCCAGGGTTCTCTTTCTCATGTCAAAGAGTGGCTACCAGCCGCCGAAACTAAAGGAAAAGGGTCGCTGGTAAAGTCCTTGCCATCTCTACAGCAGTGTCACTCATCGCAAACACGCACTCAGGCACACTTTCGTTGCACACAAAGACAACGATCCCCCATATAGCCTTAACATACTGCTTGCTTATGTTTTTTGCCAGACTTTCCGTACGGTCGTGAGTTGCAATAATTGAGCCTTGTCAATACTACGCTACATGGCACCGTGTTGGCTATGTCACGACTCAATAGTGGTCGAATGTTTTGTAGAGCCCTGAAAAAATAATTGCAGGACCTGACTATATTTTGCACATGGTGCTAAAATTACATTCTAGTCGAGTATAGTGCCGAGACTCTTTAGATGAGAAGAAAATTGAATCTTGAAGTCTGCGACCACCACAACTGATCCTCCCACATCTTTTTTTCCTGAGCCTGAGTGCCAACCAGCAGAACCTTCGATATTTCTGGATTAAGCAATCTTCAAGGTTACCAAGGTTCTCCATATCTAACTTTGACTTTACTGTGGTGTGCAATTGTGTATCATCGGCATTTTGATGGAACTTGATGTCATGCAATGAGATGACATTGGCGATCGTAGAGATGCATTTCGAAACCAGTTTTCTTGCATTCAACCAATACTAAAGAAAATTCACTCCCACAAGGCCTATGGTACCTGTGAAAAACATCTTCAAGTTTTTTGTGGAGTCAAGCGGTACGATGAGCGGTTGAGAATCGGTCTGGGGTAATGGTTTCAATATTGAAAGCGCACCGCTTAAATCTGTAGAGTTGCTGAGCCCGGCGGTCATCGCTGATGCGTTTCGTGCCAGGATTATGCAGTTGAATCGATTGGCGGTAGCCCGGGTCACCGCAAAATATTGGTGGGCCGGGCATAGTTTAAGGTTTTTTTCTGGGAGCATCGCTGGTACTACCCTGTCCTGCCGGAGGGCGACACTGGGAGCGATGATGACGACGATGTCGACGACGATGTCGATCTCGCCAGTACGACCGTGACCGCCGGCCGTACCGAGAGAGCGCCTGGTGCGCCATTGCCTCCAAGTGGTCTCGCTCCCAAAGACAAGGGGGTGGCCGCCCCCGTAAGAAGCAGAACGTGCTGGGGAATGACCAGACCAGCATCCTGATGTACTTTCAAAACAAGCAATAAACAGCCGTTGCCACGCACAAATCCCCAGCAGCCCCCCTTTTTATGGGTGTTTTGTGTGCGTTTTTTATTTCCATATTTGGCGTGCGTATGGGGCTCAGTGACATCTCCCGTCTTCATAGGCCTTCTGGTTTCGGAGTTATGGAGGTTTTTCCACCCCCGGGTCACGATGGTGACCCGGGTCACCGACAATCGATTCAGTTGTTGAGTTTGGCGCCATTGCAGGACGGTGCTGCCCCCTGTTGGCTGCTCCCATGACCATGCAGCTCCCCTGATGGCGCGGACAGCGTGACGGCTCGGGTCGCGTGACGGCGAGGCGGCTGTGTGCCCGCGTGCAGGTCGCCCGTCTTTCACAACTTCATCAAGCTGGCGCTCACCAAGAACCCCAAGAAGCGGCCCGCGGCGGAGAAGCTGCTTACGGTAAGGCCGATGTCACAGATGGGCGGCACACGGGGCCTGGTGGGCACTTGCCGTGGCGGCGGCGCAGAGCTGATGGGATGCGCGTGGTGTGGTGTGTGCGGTGTGTGCGATGTGTCGCGCTGTGCCCGTACAGCACGCATTCTTCCAGCAACCACTGAACCGCGCACTGGCGCTGGAGCTGCTGGAGAGAGCTAGCAACCCCGAGCAGCACCACGCGGCACAGAGCGCGTGTGATCAGGACGACGAGGACGCTGAGGTGCCGCACTCACCGCACACTCTCCGCACGTGCCACGCACACAGCCTTGTACCCCCCACCACTACCAGGTCCCTTACCCTCCCGTGCCCCATTCAGCTACCCCCACACCCCTTCACTCCCACCCCCCCCTTCTGCCCCCGAACCTCCACCCCCATACTCTTGGGATTACTTTCCATATCCTCTCCCATGCGACCGCGTGTGTGTGTCCCGGCTTGTGCCTCCACCTGCGCATCAACACGCGTTTCTGTATGTCTGTATACGTCTCCGTGTATACCTGTGTGTACATATATGTGTCTGTTTGCACCTGTTTGTGTATACGTGTGTGTGTGTGTGTACACGTGTGTGTGTGTGTGTACACGTCTCTGTACTTCTTCCGACTTTGCATCTCTTCTCAGCGCAAGAACCTCTCCCTGGTGAAGGTCCCTCCCACTCCTCGAGGTCCCCCAACCCTCAAGACTCCCTCCACTGCTGCCCCCAAATGCCCCTCGACACTCCGGGCCCCAACTCAGGGCCCCCAAACCCTCAAAACTCCTCTTCCTACTCGGGCAGCACCCACACCACCAGGGCCCCCAAAAACTCAGGAACACCATAATTTACCAGCACCCCCCAAGATACAAGAGCCACCTACCCTCACAGGACTACCCAAAACTGATGGACCCCTTACTTTACCAGGACCCCAAAAAATACAAGGTCCCCCTACACTTTCGGGGCCTCTGAAAATACAGCCCCCCCCTATCCTACCAGGGACTCCCAAAACACAGGAAACCATAACTCTTCCAGGCCCAACTATCCTGTTAGTGTTTCCCAAGGCCCAGGGAGCCCCTACCCTCCTCGTGCCCCCCAAAATACAGGGACCCCCTACCGTCCCAGTGGCCCCCAATATACAGGGGGCTCCTATCCTTCCAGGACCTCTCAAAACACAGGAACCTCCTACCTTACCAGGTCCCCCCAAAATACAGCGAACCCCTATCCTTCCAGGACCCCCCAAAACACAAGGCCCTTCTACCGTTCCAGGTCTTCCCAAAATACAGGGACCCCCTATCCTTCCAGGACCCCCCAAAACACAGGGGCCTCCTACCTTACCAGGTACCCCCAAAATACAGGGACCCCCTATACTTCCAGGACCCCCCAAAACACAGGGGCCTCCTACCTTACCAGGTACCCCCAACATACAGGGACCCCCTATCCTTCCAGGTACCCCCAAAATACAGTGTCCCCTGACTCTTCCAAGCCCCCCGAAAATACAGGGACCCCCTACCCGTCCAGGCCCCCCCAAAACACAAGGAGCCCCTACCCTTCCAGGGCCCTCCAAATTGCAAGGGCCCCCTACCTTGTCAGGGCCCTCCAAACTGCAAGGGCCCCCTACCTTGTCAGGGACCCCTACTTCTCAGGATCCGCCCTCCATCCCAGGACCTGTCAACCCTGGGGGGCCATTCGCCTTTGCTGGAGCCCCCCCCGTCACTGTGCAGAGCAGCGGCCCCCCCCCTACTTTGCAGGTAGCAGCTGATTTGTGTTTTGCAGCAGTGATGACTCTCTAACCCGTAACCCATAACCCCTAACCCGTAACCGTAACCCGTAACTCGCCACCCATGGGGCTGCATTGAGGGTGGAGTAACGCTAATGCCGCCGCTTCCCTCATCACTGCCGGCACTGTGAACGCTCCCAGTGTCACGACGTCTTCCCCCTTCTCTCTCTCTCTCGTGATGCCCCCTCTCAACCCCGCCTTTGATGACAGCCCCCTTCTCTATCCCCCTTCTCACGATGACCATCCCTTCATACGATGGTCACCTTCTCTCAGTGAACATTGTTGACTACTGTACTCATGTATCTATGTATGTACGTTGAACTTCTTTCGCACCGTACGTAGCCAACGATGCTAATCGGAGGTGCGGGAGAAGGACAACAAACTAAACACAAAAAGCATTCGTCACGAAATTAGTTTTCAATCTTGATTTTAAAGTGATAAGTCCTAATGAAGATGAAACCAAACCGCAGGTGTCTCTCTGTTTCATCGCTGCCTCTGTTGGGACAGCCACATTTATTAACTCTCCTCCGTGCTGGTGACCTAAACGATTCTACGGCCACACAATTGGCCCTTGTCTGGAGCAGGCTGAGAGCATTGCACGTGCGCTGCGGTGGTCACGTGGCGTGCATGCGGGGTGTGCGGATGGGGGTGGCGCCTGCCTGCTCCGTGTGAGCAGCGAGCTGCTACGCGCCTTTGAGTTTGTGTGCAGCCTGCACGACACGTTCTCCTGCTGCGATGAGTTCTCTCATCATTCACATGGAACGTCGAATTTGAATCCCCCCTTCTGTGTCATGACGGCCACCGCTCCCTCTTGCTGTGCTGCCTGCGTGTTTGTATTACAGAGTTGTGTGCGTGTGGGGAGCGGAAGTGCATGTGGAGCGACAGTGTAGCGGTTAGCGCACTGCGCTATGAAACCGGCTAGCTGAGTTCGATTCCCACTCATGACCAATAACGGTGGCAAATATTTGAATTGATTATAATTCGTGCTTCAGTTTTCCCAGCCTTAAACGAGTACCTGGTGGGGTGTGTAAACATCGCCACTCAGGAGACAAAGGCAGCTGGGCGTGGTACTAGCCACCCACCCCCGCGTATGCTGTGCCGACCTTCATAGGTACTGGCCAAGAGCATTTACCCCAACAGTATGTTGAGTATGTTGAGGCTAAATGAGGCATCATCATTGTGTTCATGTGTGGGTGTGTGCAGCCGGCGCTGGTGGTGCCACACCGCATCCCCTCCAACAACAAGCACGACCGCGCTGAGCGCACGCGCTCCGAGATCACATGTGAGACACCCCGACACGCTACACAACCACCACAACAATTATAATTTTTAAATCTTCTAAATACAATCGGGCATGATCAATACACTGCTGGACGAAGGCCTCTCCAAGCTGCCACCATCTCTCATGATTCGGCGATATAACTCCAGTATCCGCATTTAAGATTATTTCACTGCTCCATTCCTTGTGTGAACGCCCTCCTTGGGCGACTTACATTAACGACTACGTTAGGGTAGCAGAGGGGAGTTGGGGGGGGGGGGAGTCAGGGCTGGGAGACACTGGGGGGAGGGAGAGAGCTCCTCTTGTCACAACCGAGGCCCAACCGGGGCTCAATAACAACAGGGGCAGCCAGGGCAGCAGGGAGGGCCGAAGCCGTTTAGGGAACTCGCAACTCACGAGCCCACGATGGGTCACCGCACCCCATGAAGGAGGTGGAGTGGGAGGTTTGCGAGCAGTGGGGACGCGTTCCGGGTCACCGCCACTCAGCTACTGTCTCCCTGTGTACCCTTCTACCTCATATGTCAGTTGACCAGGTGACCTTTGAGCCTCCGTTGAGGAAAGAGACGGTGCCACATCACGACCTGGTAGGTGGTGGAGGGAGCCTGCGGTGGTATGCACACAGACGCGCACAGCCAACACACACACGCACATGCATGCACGCACGCGCATACACAACATGCACACACACACGGCAACACGTACACGGCACACGTGTGCATGCACGCACACATGAGCCCGGCGAGTGGCACATCACTCATTGCTAACGCATCGTGCCAGCTCCAACTTTGACTGCAGCCTAACTCACGCACGCTGGGGCTGCACAAAGAGCGACACCGCTTGCAAGATAACTCGTGACACGTGCCTGTGTGTGTGTGCGTGTGTACGAGCATGGGAGTGTGCATTTGTGTATGGTTTTGTATTTGTGTCCACGTGTTGTCGTGTGTCCCTGTGGGGTTGTGTGGTGTCTTTTGTGTTGTGTGTCTGCCTTCTGTGTGTGTCTGTGTATGTTGTGTATTTGTGTTTCGTGTTTTTGCATATGTGTGCGTCTGTCTCTGCCCTTTGTGTGTGTCTGCTCTGTGTGTGTCTGCTCTGTGTGTCTGTGTCATATGTGTGCATGTGTCTGTGCGAGTCAGCCCCACGCGGGCCAGGAGGGTGCGGACGAGTTGTACTTCACGGCACGGCCCTTCCTGGTACCGCACACCTCTTGTCCGTCTGCGTGTCCATGCGTCTCGTGCGTGCACCCGTCCCACGCTTATTTTGCGTCTCATTCCGAGCTTTGCGCTTGTGTGCGACCCCCAGCACTGTGGCCACAGCCACGCGTCCACGTGTGCACTTCACTGCCCATCTCCGTTTCCCATTCGTGTGCATGGTTTGTCCGTCCGCCTGTCCGTGGGCCCGTGAGCTCACCGCCGCGCGGGGTCCTTTTTTGCGTGCTCACTCACGTCTGTCCCCTGGCTGTTTTTTTCCATTGATCTCTTGACTGTGCACCCCCTGAATACCTACGACTGCAGCGCAGAGAACAAAAACACGTCGCAAGTTGAACTCTTACTGCTGTCAAATATGACCTGGAGCACTCACTGCACCAGATAGATCAGAGTGAGGCAGTCACTGATTAATTGATGACCCAGCAGTCACTGATTCACTCCAGTCACTCGCTCACGCAGCAGTCAGGCACCTCCTTATCACTCTTATATCGGTACTAACAAGGTTACTGTTTCCATGTTCACGACTCGGTCTTAAAGATATCGACTATTTCATCTCATCCACACTGTTCAACCAACCACCACACTGCACGTCACAACAACTCTCTCACTCACTCATCCACCGACCACACTACAGGTCGCAACGCTGCTTCTTCCATTGCACTGCTCCACTTTGGAATTCCCCCTCATCGTTTATTTTTTCCCAAGCTCTTATTATGACTTCGCTCGATTCCTGAAATGCGTTAGCCCTTATCTAGAGGGGGTCGGAATGACTGCAGTTGAGAATTACTGGCCTGGAGGACAGGCTCCAGCTTTCATTAGGCCGTCCTCCTCCCTGCTAGAATCGTGAGGTTTGTTTCAGGCAGTGATTGAAGCGTCAGCCTCCAGAGCGATGGGAGAGTCGTATGCACGCGGTCATTCTTCTGTTCGTGCTGCGGCCCTCGCTTTGTGCATGTGGATAACGGCATTGTTTCTGTGTCCGTGTGTGCGCGCGTACGTGTGTTGGCCTGTCCTCGTGTGTGTACGTGTGTGTGCCTGTGTGTGTTTCCATGCGTGCGGGTGTCCATGCACGCATTTCCGTGTGCGTGCGTGTGTCCGTGTGTCCGTGTGTGTGCGTGTCCCTCCGTGTGTGCATGTGTTTGTGCGTTTCAGGACATGCAGGAGGAGTATGAGCTGGGCAGTGGGTGGTCAACCTACCCCAAGGAACCCACGTCCTCCAAGTGAGGATCCGCAATGCGCCCGCATTCACACACTCACTCACACTCCGCCACTCACACCCCTGCACTCTATCTCGCACACACACACACACACCCTCAATGCCTCACGCACTAAACTCTTCACTCCCTCACTCGCACACATACACTCAACATGCATGCACACACACGCTCACTCGCACGCACACACTCCCTCATAAAAATATGACTTTTAGCATTTAACATATTCCCACACACACACATCCTCACGCACGCGCCCCACACTCACATGCACTCATCCCCTCGAACACGCTCGCACACATCCTCGCACATGCTCCCACACACACACACGTCCTCACACGCTGCCATGCACCACCTCGCCCGTGCTGTAGGCCCCAGTGTCCCGCATCTGCCGCAACGTAGCTCGGCTCCAAGCAGTCTCCTTTACCCGGGGGAGCGGCTTGTGTTGTACCAGCTTTTGACGATGCTTTACACCTCAACCGATCGGAGGTGACCGCCTACCCTCCCCTGCCTTGCCCTTCCCTGTGCCTGCCCCGCTCCTCCACCCTACCCTGCCCTCTCCTCCCGGTTCCCCGTATCCTCCCTGGCAGGAGCCTCCTCAAGTCTGTGGAGGAGGAGTTACAGCAGAGGTACAAGATCCGCGCTCCGCTTTAGCTAGTCATTCCCCTGCGTACAGTGCCCGGGTTTCAGATGCGGGGTTTCTCGCTCTCACTAACGACGTCACCATCCCGCCGACGCGTTGTCCACAGATTACGCTTCGCTTCCTAAATAATCGTGCTGGCTGTGGTGTGGCGTGCGCAGTGGGGGTTGCGGGTGAGGAGCCTTAACAGCCGTTGGAAGCCGTGAAGCTGCTCGCACTAACCCTAAACCCCCGCCCCCCGTGTCCTCTCCAGGGGTCATATGACACACCTGGATGACGATGATGAGTCTGAACAGTAAGTTGTCCTCTAACCTCTAACCTCCACTGTCGTGACTAACGTTGAGTATTTTTGTGGGAGCCTCGGGCCACAGGAGGTGTTGGTGGTGATTTGAATTGTGTTCGGTTCAAGTTGATTTTGGTAAACAAGGCGAGAACTCGAGAGGCCAGGATAGCATGACTCACGAGAGGAGTCGAGTCGCAGGAGGGAGCAGCTGATTCGCCTTCACTGCGGCGACACTGACCGCGAATCCGTGTGCGTGTGATCCCAGCTGCACCCTGAAGCGGGCGCCACCGCCACCCATCCCCACAAAGGTACAGCCCCCGGCTCTCCACTCAATACACCACCACAATCACCACCTACACCGCCCGTCACAACCAATAACAACAAATGACGTTCGCAACTAAGTGGCGGTGATGTCACCATGGCGCTTGTGCCAGGCTACGTGTATCTTGAGGCCACGAAAAGCGTTAAAGGCTTTGCTGGCAGGAGGTCCTGGGACAGATCCAGATCACTGGCACATGCACCACTTGTGCTCTCCACTGTGCCAAATGTCTGTATTTTAACCGCCCAGCGCTCTGCGCATTGTGAGTGTCGGTCCTCCACTTTTCGCTGTTGTTGGTAGGTGACTGCCTCCAACTGCCCAGTAGCATCCTTTACGAGCCTCATCCATTGAGATCGATGTTTACACCGCTGGTACAAGTCATCGGCAAGTCTACTCAGCTCCACATTCTCCTCTACCGCATCAGTCAAACTCTATTCGAACCCATGCCGCGCCCGTTTAGCCCCATATTTCCGGTCAAACAGAAGCTGCTTAGGCATGCGGTGGCTCGGTATGTGGGCTTCGTGACCCAGCCAACGCAGCCTCGCTACCGGAGAAGCTCACCGATGGAACCACCAACACCACTGCTCCTATCATTGAGTGTGAAGTGCCACCGTGTCATTGCCGTTGATGGTTGTGTCACTGTGGCGCCGTATGTGATGGGGATGTCGCACCACCGCGTGTGCTCCCCCACAGGCGCGTGGCACCGGCAGCTCAGAGGAGAGCACACCGGACGAGGAGCGGTGCGCCACCACCCGCAGCGTGGCACCGGGGGGCACGGGGAGCATGCGCGGAACCCCCCCTCCTCCACGGCCACCACCCCCCCGCCTTTCCCCCCGGGGCGGCCCCCCACCACGGCCGCTAGGACCTCCCCGACCCCCTCCAACCTCCGTCGAGGGAGAAGAAAAATCGGCGACCGTGGGGGCAGCGCCCCCCAGGCCATCGCAGCTCGCACCCCAGGGCTCCCCCGACACCTCCAGTAAGCCTCCCACCCTCCCTCCGCCCCTCCCTCCCACACACACAGCCGGCACAGGATGCGGTGGCGCGAGTTGAGCCCTGTGGTGACTCGTGTGTGTGCATGGTGTGTTGTGTGTGCGGAACCTGCGTGACGTGCGTGCGACACGTGTGTGCGTGGCACGTGCAGCGAACGGAGTGCTGCCCAACGGTGAGCGGGGGGCGTCGCCTGCGGCGGTGGAGGTGGAGCGGGACTCGCAGGGGGCCTCCGTGCCCCCCACCGTGCCCCCCCGGACTCTGAGAGGGGACAAAGACAAAATGGATGCCCAGGTGAGCGGATTGTGTGGCATTGAACGCCTTGTGAAACTCGGTTGGGACACCAGGGGCTTTTGCCCCCCACCCAGGTTCTCTTAACCCCCCCGCCACCCCCCCCCCCACCTCTGTCCTGCAGAAGCAGAGCATCAACGGGCTCCCACCGACTCCGAAAGTGCACGTGAGTCTCATTATCATCATTGTCATTTAAACACAGTAGCTGGGCACAGGCCCAAATCGTCACGGGGCCAGCAACAAGCAGCACTATCACGGATAAGGGTGATACACATTTTTTGAATTGAGTGAAGTTACTATCGTAAAAGCTTGTCAGGAACAGAGACGATGATAGGAGTACGGAATTACAAAGTTGAGCAGGGCGAGGGAAGAAGCGGAAAGATGAGTTGGTGAGTGGGTGTGTCAATGATTGGATGTGTGGGTAAGTGAGTGGGTGAGTTGGTAAGTGGGAGCTTGCCTCTAAGAGGTGGGGACTTACCATCAGCCCCACCAAAACTAAGCACCTGCCTGGGTATTATGTACCATCGGAGACTCCACCCCCACAACTCCCAATTGGTGATAGGGCAGTTGTGGAGAGAGTGGAGAGTTTCCCATACCTGGGCAGTGTGCTCATGACCGGCTCCAGTTTGACAGCAGAGGTCTCCTCACTCCGAATCAGTCGAGCGGCAATATCTTTTAATCGGTTGCGTAACGCTGTGTAGAAGCTACATGGCCTGTCGCTCTGCACGAAGCTTCAGGTCTTCTCGGCCACAGTCATTCCGTCCCTTCTCTACGCTTGCGAAACGTGGACCCCCCTAATGGAACATCTTCGCCGGTTAGAAACATTTAAGCTGGCCTGCCTACAATCCATCCTGGGTTTAACCAGGCTGGATTGTGTGAGGAGCTCACAAATCCTTGAAAGATCTGGACAAGTCCCATCGGTGAGCTCCTCCGGCAGGCAAGGCTGCATTGGCTGGGTCATGTAGCCCGCATGCTTAGCCACCGCATATCTAAACAGCTTTTGTTCGACCGGATAGAGGGGGCGAAACGGGCACGGCACGGGTTAGACAAGAGATGGGGTGATGTGGTACAGGAGGATGTGGAGCTGAGTGGACTTGCCGATGACTGGTACCAGCGGTGTCAAGATCGACCTCTGTGGAGGAGGCTCGTGAAGGACGCTACTGGGCAGTTGGAGGCAGTCGCCCTCCAACAACAACGGAGGGGGGAGGAGTGATGCTCACAACAACGAGTGGAGCGCCAGGTGGCTAAAGCACAGCAAGTTGGCACAGTAGGGGGCACAGGTGGTGCATCAGCCAGTCATCTCAGTCGATCCGTGGCACCTGGGTCTGCCCCGTGACCTCCTACCAGCGGGCGTTCAACATTTCACGTGGCCTCAACGTGCACATAGCCTGGCACAAGCGTCGTGGTGACGTCATCGCCACTTAGTGGCGAATGGCGATTGTTGTTGTTGAGTTGGTAAGTGAGTGCGTGGGTGAGTGAGTGGGAACTGGGCAGAGGGCGGTGCTGTGCTGGGTGCTGCTTGGCGACTTGCACTCTCTCTTGCCTCCCAGATGGGCGCATGCTTCTCCAAGGTGTTCAATGGCTGCCCGCTCCACATCAACTGTGCGTCATCCTGGATCAACCCCGAGACTCGCGGTAACGCACGCACGCGTGCCTTCTTTACAAAGGGGGGCACCACCAGGGCATATTTCCAATCCGGGAGAACCTTTGCTGTGGTCCAGGCAATTGTAACGATGTCATATAGGGCAGCCGGCACACAATCACCACCCTCCCTGGCCGTTTTCTGCGGATGTCTTCTCTACCCGGCTCTTTACCTGGTCTCAAGTTGCAGATCCCTCACCGCACTTGTTCAACAAATGGCGCGTCAGCCGGCCACTTAGCTGCTTGAGCGGTGGTGCGGCCCAAGCGGGCGAACTTTCGCCACATGTTGCAAGGGTTCACGGTTCAAATCCGGCGGCCGCGCCAGTCATTTCTGGCGCGTGTGTAATGCCCACGGTGGTACTCTACGTCATCCACTTCATAGCGGACGTTGGATATTGCTGTTCGGTCGTTGGAAAGAGCGTCCTGCGAGTCGCGTCATTGTGTCCACAGACCAGCACCTCATATTCGGGGCTGAGGAGGGCATCTACACCCTCAACCTCAACGAGCTGCACGAGGCCAGCATGGAGCAGGTGGTGGCCCACGCACCCAGCACACGCCGCACCTTGCACCACGGTACACGCCACGCACGCACCCCAATACTCCATTATTGCCCCACACCAGCAGAAAACACCTGGGGGTAGGAGGGTTGTTGTGACTCTGTGTCCTTGTTGTTGCAGCTCTACCCCCGCCGCTGTTGCTGGCTCTACGTCGTCAACAATGTGCTCATGTCCATATGCGGTAAGTGCTCCTATTACAATTCATACTCGGCATCTAAATGCAGTCGCATCTCAACATGCTGCACAGGCTGAGTGGGGGGGGAGTGCTATCTTCTCAACAGAGGCGGTCATAGGCAGATGACAGGAGGAGGGAGGTCTAGAGGCATGGACTTGAACAGGGACAGGGAGCCAGCAGCATGGGTGACTGGTGGAAGGGAGTTCCAGATCTCACCTCCCTACTGCAGTGCTTGGGGTAGTTCTGCGCATCGATGGCTTTGTAAGGTGGTTGTGTGTGAACTTGGGGTGGCTGTGTTGGTTGTTTATAGTGGTTGTGTGTGCGTGCGTGTGTGGTGGCGGGTTCCTTATGGGGGCTATGGTTGCTGTGCGTGGTTGCTGTGCGTCGTGTGGCGGTGCGTGCAGGAAAGACGTCCCAGCTCTACTCGCACAGCCTACTCGGCCTGTTTGAGCAGGCGAGGAGGCAGCACAGCCTTCCCATGCACATCCCCACACACCGCCTCCCCGACCGCATCATACCACGGTACTGGGAGGCAGCCTCGCCCCGCACAACTCGTTGACGCCACCCCATGTGCCTCACCCGCGACACACCACTCAAACTGGTCTCGTCTGGCTGTGCTGTCCCCGTGCAGGAAATTTGCCGTTTCGACCAAGTTCCAGGACACCAAAGGCTGCCAAAAGTGCTGCGTAGGTAAGGTGTGAGCGGCGCGCCCATCGTATGCCTTGCCAACCTGAATAGCCGCTCACTAACAGCGCTTAGCCCATCGGTCTGTTAAAGGCTATATGGGAGATTTTTGTCTTTGTGTACATGTGCGTGCGTGTGTGAGCGCAGTGCGTAACCCCAGCACTGGAAACAAGTACCTGTGCGGCGCACTGCAGTCGGGCATCATACTTCTGCAGTGGTACGAGCCCATGCAGCGCTTCATGCTCATCAAGGTGAGAGGTCGCAAATCTCCCCAGCGCCGCCACCTTAGCAGTTGAGTGCACGCGTCACTCACGCACGTGTGTGCGTGTACACCTGCCCGTGTGTGTTTATAAACCTGTGTACACATGTACTACAAATCGTTTACCCGGGTACAATTCCCGCTCGAGGCCAACACCAGTGACGATTATCTGCACCGGTCTTGGGCCTCGCCTAGGTTGACTCAGCCCTAAATTAGTACCTGGTGCGGTGTGTAAACATCACCACTAGGGAGACAAAGGGGGCCAGGTGTGGTGTTGGCCATCCACACCTTTGTGTGCCATGCCGGCCTTCGTAGGTGCAACTTGCGAACAGCACTTACCCCAACGGTTTGTTTAAGCTATACCGGGGGTCTTTGTGTACACCTGCGTGTGTGCGTAAGCAGCACTTTGAGTTCCGGTTGCCGGTGCCACTGCGCGTGTTCGAGCTGCTCGTGGTGCCGGAGCACGAGTTCCCGCTCGTGTGCGTGTCGGTGAGCCGTGGCGCCGACCCCGGCCAGGCCGTGCGGCTTGACACCATCAACCTCAACTCGGCCTCCTCCTGGTTCACCGAGACCAGCACCGGTACGAGGCCAACCTCCTGCACCACGGCCATGGTGACATGATCTGGATATGTGTGTGTATGGAATAGTAGAGGGGTGTGTGTGTGTGTGAACATGTGTGGAAGAGTAGAGGAGTGTGTGTGTGTGAACGTGTGTGGAGTAGAGTGGTGTGTGCGTGTGAATGTGTGTGGAGTAGAGTGGTGTGTGTGTGAATGTGTGTGGAGGAGTAGAGGGGTGTGCGTGAACGTGTGTGGAGGAGCAGAAGGGTGTGTGTGTGCGTGGAGGCGTGAGCGAGGTGGTGCCGGTGTGACGCTGTGTTGGGATGCAGGCGGCGCCCCCCTGGAGCACGTGCACGTCACTCAGCTGGAGAAGGAGACTTTATTGGTGTGCACTGACAGTGAGTGTACTCCCTCCCTTCTCACGCTCACCCACCCCTTCCCTCCCATCATCCTTCATCCAGCCCTCCCTTTACACGACTGCCATGCATTCATGCATGTGTGCGCACGTGCATGTCCATGTGCGTGTCTGTCCTCACGTTTGTGAATAATAGGGAGCAGTAGTGTAGTGGTTAGCCTGGTTGGCTACGTACGGTGCGAAAGAAGTTCAACATACATACATACAAACCCAGCCACCCGAGTTCGATTCCCGCTCAAGGCCAACACCAGTGACGAATATTTGAACCGGTGCTGAGCTTTCCCGAGGTCGACTCAGCCTCAAATGAGATCCTGGTGCAGTGTGTAATCTTCCCTACTCAGGAGACAAAAGACGGCCAGGCGTAGTGCTGGCCATCCACCCCCTTGTGTGCCGTGCCGGCTTTCATAGGTGCTTCCTAACATCATTTGCCCCCCAAGTCTGTTGAGGCTATGCGGGGGATCTTTGTCTTTGTGTGCATGATGTGTGTGCGTGTATCATGTGCTTGTTTGTGTGTATAATATGCATATGTGTGTGTATTATGTGCGTGCATGTGTGTGCGTGCATGTCTGTGTGCATGTGTATAAATGCGTGCGTTTGTGTGTAGGGTGTGTACAGATCGTGAATCTGCAGGGACGCCTCAAGTCCAGTCGCCGAATGGCGACCGAGCTGCTCTTCAACTTCCGCATTGACTGCATCGGTAAGATGCGACACAGCTTACGGCATGCATCACAGCACGCATCACGCGGCCTCGCTGTGTCACCCCATGTGTGACACCCATTGTAACCCATTGTAACCCACTGTGTGTCCCACTGTGTAACTCGCTGTACGGCCTGTGGTGTGACCCGCTGTGTGACCTGCTGTATGTCTCACTGTGTAACCCGCTGTGTCTCCCACTGTGTCACCCACTATGTAACTCGCCGTGTCTCCCGCTGTGTAACTCGCTGTGTCTCCCGCTGTGTCACCCGCTGTGTGACCCGCTGTGTCTCCCACTGTGTCTCCCACTGTGTAACTCGCTGTGTCTCCCGCTGTGTAACTCGCTGTGTGACCCACTATGTAACTCGCCGTGTCTCCCACTGTGTAACTCGCTGTACGGCCTGTGGTGTGACCCGCTGTGTGACTTGTTGTATGTCTCGCTGTGTAACCCGCTATGTAACCCGCTGTGTCTCCCACTGTGTAACTCGCTGTGTCTCCCGCTGTGTAACCCACTATGTAACCCGCCGTGTCTCCCGCTGTGTCTCCCACTGTGTCTCCCACTGTGTCTCCCACTGTCTCCCACTGTGTAACTCGCTGTCTCCCGCTGTGTAACCCACTATGTAACCCACTATGTAACCCGCTGTGTCTCCCACTGTGTAACTCGCTGTGTCTCCCGCTGTGTAACCCACTATGTAACTCGCCGTGTCTCCCACTGTGTAACTCGCTGTGTCTCCCGCTGTGTAACCCACTGTGTAACTCGCCGTGTCTCCCGCTGTGTAACCCACTATGTAACTCGCCGTGTCTCCCCCTGTGTAACTCGCTGTGTAACCCGCTGTGTCTCCCACTGTGTCTCCCGCTGTGTAACCCACTATGTAACTCGCCGTGTCTCCCACTGTGTAACTCGCTGTGTCTCCCGCTGTGTAACTCGCTGTGTAACCCGCTGTGTCTCCCACTGTGTAACTCGCTGTGTCTCCCGCTGTGTAACTCGCTGTGTAACCCGCTGTGTCTCCCACTATGTAACTCGCTGTGTCTCCCGCTGTGTAACTCGCTGTGTAACCCGCTGTGTCTCCCACTGTGTCACCCACTATGTAACTCGCTGTGTCTCCCGCTGTGTAACTCGCTGTGTCTCCCGCTGTGTAACTCGCTGTGTAACCCGCTGTGTCTCCCGCTGTGTCACCCACTATGTAACTCGCTGTGTCTCCCGCTGTGTAACTCGCTGTGTCTCCCACTGTGTAACTCGCCGTGTCTCCCGCTCCTGTGTAACCTGCTGTGTTTCCCGCTGTGTAACTCACTGTGCGAACTGTTGTGTAACTCGCTGTGTCTCCCGCTGCGTCTCCCGCTGTGTAACTCGGCGTGTCTCCCACTGTGTGACCCAATGTGTAATTCGCTGTCTCCCGCTGTGTGCCCCGCTGTGTGTCCCGCTGTATAACTCGCTGCATGACCCTTGGTGTGACCGGCTGTGCCACCACCACTGTGCACAGTATGCCTGCAGGACAGCGTGCTGGCGTTCTGGAAGCATGGCATGCAGGGCCGCAGCTTCCGCACCAACGAAATCACTCAGGAGATCGGCGACCAGACACGCGTGTTCCGCATGCTGGGCTCAGACAGGTGAGCTCCCGCGGTGTGCCGGGAGCCATGTGGTGGGTGGTGTGCTGGGTGGGATGCTGGTTGGGTATCCTGTATGGGTTTTTGTGCTTTTTGGTCTGGTGTTACGTGTGGTTTGGTGTGCTGCCTGTGGTGTGGTGTGGTTGGAGTGTGATGTGCTGTGTGTCGTGTGCCATGTGTGGTGTGATGTGACGCGTGTGGTGCGCACCGTGTCCGGTGTGGTGCGGTGCGGAGCGCGTGTGACGTTGCGGTGCATGTGCCGCATACCTCAGCAGGGTGGTGGTGCTCGAGAGCCGGCCGACAGACAACCCGGTCGCCCAGAGCAACCTTTACATCCTGGCAGGACACGAGAACAGCTTCTGAGGAAGGGCCCTGGGGCCTCGTGTGCCCCCCCCCCTGCCCCACGTTGCCCCCCCCCCCCCCTTCCCGATGTGGCCCTGCCGGAGCTTCGCTTGCCACTGGAACTGCGCCTAATCGCTCATGAAACGACGAGGGAAGTGGCCTCACGGCACACGCGCCGACCTGGGGGAGGGCCCGTGATGATCGGAGTGCAGGGGACACGGGGGGCCCCGCCGCCACCGTATAGGAAGGGGCCGGAACGGGGCCTCCGCTCGGTGCCAAGTGACTTGCGTTGGCGAGGGGTGGACAGGGCCCCTCTCTATACGGGTCCCCGAGGTGCCCGTATGGGGCCGAACCCCGGGATGGACTGGTGCCCCCAGGGCCCGCAGCCGCCGTTCATCACGACGCAGAAACGTGCAGGGCCCCCACGCCGCCCCCCCCCCCCCCACACAGACGCTTCGTTTTTTTAAGTTTATTTTCACCTTTTGCCAAAGCGTAAGGTCTATCAAAGTTATAGATTTGTTGAAAATTTTATTGCCGATATGTTTTAGAGCTCTCTAATATTTAATATTGGTGGCAGGTGTACTTGAGAAGTATAAATCCGAGCACTTTGCTGGAGTGTAATATATAGACATGTAACAAGTTATAATTTTGTAAGTGCAGTCAGTAAAATTCGCCGGCCTCGCATGGCTAGCGAGGCTGCAGTGGCATATGGCTAAAAGTTCTGCTGGGTGGGGAGCCCTCCACGTCGGTGGTCAGGTCTCTACCAAGGCCATCGGCTGCCAAGGCAACTCTCTCCTCTTCGGCAAAAGCGTTTTGTACACGTACCACGCAGTCTATATTACAGTATATGCAGTATACGCGCGCATTACCCTGCACGCATACAGCCTGGGGGTGGGCGACGTGTCCCGTCCCCATGGCCGCGCACACACACTACCTTCGCGTCCTGGTTTATGCAATAATTATTTCCGTATTGGAACGAGTCAACTCCCCTTATTTGGAGGCCTCGTGAGACACGGCGCGTGTGGGTTCAGGTGAGGCGGGGACTGGGTCCACATAGGTGGTGGCCTGGGTGGCTGGCAGTGTGAACACTAATTACCGAAAGCAACCGTAAGTTGAAAGTGGGGTCTGGTGAAACACTGGTGCTAGGAGCCCATGAATTAAATATCACACTTTAGGGTTGCGGTTTGGTTCAAGAATGCATGAATTTCTTTACATTATTAGTAATGCAGCGGGTCCACTCGTACAACATGAGTGAAGATGAGTAATTTATTCCATTTTCATGGGCATAGGAATAGACTTTAATCAATCAAGTTGCATTCCTCAATACATGCCTCTGGGTTAGGGTCAATGACATGGCTAGTACTTGTGGTGGCTTGCTTGTTGGTTAGGGTTAGTGGGATGGCGAGTACTCGTGGCTAGCTAGTTGGTTAGGATTATGATCAGTGGGATGACACGCACTAGTGGTGCCTGGCTATTTGGTTATGGTCAGTGGGATGGCTAGTACTCGTGACTAGCTACGTTGGTTTGAGTTTCGATCAGTGGGATGGTTAGTACTAGTGGTGGCTGGCTAGTTGGTAAGGACTGTGATCAGTGGGATGGCGAGTACTCGTGGCTGCCTTGTTGGTCTGGGTTATGATCATCGGTATGGCTAGTTCTGGCTGGCGAGTTGGTTTTAATCAGTGGGATAGCTCGTACTGGTGGTGGCTGGCTGGTTGGTTATGGCTATGGGATAGCATTGGTTGTCTGGTGGTGACCGTGCACACGCTGCTTGTCCTTTATATTGTGATGTATGGCCCCTCAGTGTTCGGTGCCTCCGGCTTGTGGTGTTCACATGGACCAGGTCTCCCTCCTCACTCGCCCTCACGCCCCCACCCCACGTTCCTCTCCCCGCCTGCGCGGGGCTGTAGTCCGCATACTGGGTGGAGTTGGTTGCATTTGGTTGAGTTGAGTTGGGGGGAGTTGAGATGAAGTTTAGTTTGGTGAAGTTGAGGGTTGAGATGGGTGGAGTTGAGCGATGAGTGGAGTTGGATTGAGTTCTGTGGAGTTGAGTACTTGTATGGAATTGAGCTCGGTGGAGTTGATGGTTGAATTAAGTGGAATTGATTTGCATTGAGTTAGGGTCGAGTTGGATTGAGTTAGGGATGAGTTGAGTGTGACTGGGTTGAACTGAGTAAATTTGAGGGTGGAGTTCGGTTGCACTCTGCATTGACCGCGGACCCCTCTCACGGGGAGGAGGATGAGGGGGCTGCTTGTATAGCATAGCAATGTACATAACGTTTCTCGGAGGTCGCGCAGACGCGTGCAACCATGTTCCCGCAACCTCCACACACTACTGAATGCGCTTTGCGAGTGCGCGGGTGCGGGGTGGGGGGGCGCGAGGGTCGGGGTTCTGTTACACAGTGGAGTGGGGGCAGCGCGCCTCCCGACAGCATGTGTCGTGTTCTGTGTAAATATTGTAAAATACAATGAGGACCGCAGTCGTGACGCCTCCCTTACTCCGGGAACCCCACGCCGACTTCACACGGCCAACTAGCAACTACACCGCTTCACTATAAACTAAAACCTGTCACACTATCAATTACACCGTTACACTTATCAACTACACTACATGGCCAACAACACTGCTAACTATACCACAACGCTACACTTTTAACTACGCTAATTGCAACACTGCATCTCCGACACGACAAATTTCATCAACTGCACTGCACACAGCTACACCACCAACTACACCACTCCATCTACAGGCGGTTTAACAGCATGGTTCAATCTAGATTTGAAGTTTTCCTGACTGCAGGGATCCATACTCTTTGGTTCTTTCGGTAAAGTCACGTGGGTATAAAATACATTTAATCACGACGTTTCAGGCGCAACAAAACAATTGTTTCCTGCTGTGGTTGTCCCACCTGATGACGGACACATGTGTTGCTGCCCGAAACGTCGTGATTACATTTATTTTTATTTTTTTATACCTACGTGACTTTACCGAAAGAACCAAAGAGTATTAACAGCATGGTGCCATCAGTGGCGTCAACCCACCGACAAATCCAGCGGCAGCAGAGACGTGGACCCACTGGTGAGCAGAGACGTGGACCCACTGGTCAGCAGAGACGTGGACCCACTGGTCAGCAGAGATCGCGAGGTCACCGAGCGCCTGGAGAAGGGCCGTGTCTGTTGAGTGTCCACCGCGGGGTCGAGGAGACTTTGCGAGCTGTTCAGTGGTCGGTTAAGTGAGAGCAATTATCTCACGAATGTTCACAGGAGGGGGGGATATTTGAATGGGATGAACATCGGATGGTGGACGGCGGGCAAGAATAATAATAACGGGAGTGGCAGCTGTGGATTGGAACGTATCGGATAAGTCCACTGAGAGAGGATGGAGCGATTACATCGGTTAATATCCAGAAGACGCATGGATTTGTTACATCAGGATCGTTAGAGGGTGGCTGCGGCTTGGGACGGTCCTCGTCCAGCAGTGGATCGATCACAATTAGCTGCACTACGTTTAAAACCTGGGGTTCCGTTTTCCCCATGGTAAAAGCCGATTAAGTGGCGCAGACAACATGAAAAAATCGAATAATCACGAACAGCCCTCTGTGATACAGGCGTCAACATTTGGCGAGTGTTCTGTGGTTACTGAAGAAAAACATCAAAGACGGTCACCACTGATATATATTTTTTTCGTGGCTGCCTTTTTTTTTAAAGGCGCACCTTTGTGAATATCTGGCAAGTTTCATGTTTCTATCACAAATTAAAACGATTCCTGTGAAAATATGCACTTAATGTGCTCCACTGTGATGTTTAGTTCGTCCCTGGAAAAAAAACGGGATTCAAACCAAATGTCTCGGCCGTATCTCGGCTCAGCGCTGCGAGTTTGTGACATGACCCACGGGGTCACGGCTTAATGAGACATGTGCGAGCCCTGTGAACCGATTCAAGAATGTGTGTCCCGCGCGTGACGTCACTCCACATGAGGCCCACTCTCGCGTGACGTCACTCCACATGAGCCCCCCCCCCTCTTCATTAATATTCATGAGTGGGTGAATTTTTACACGAACGCAGAGGAAGGTTGAGCACAATTAAATAATTTATTATGCAAAGTCGCTTCAAATATGACGTTTCTTTACAGAAAGTGACGGTAAAAAAATAAATATACGCAGCACAGTGCGACATCCGTGCGTGACGTCACTGCAAAAGAGCCCCCCTCATTAATATTCATGCGCGCGTAGAAATTTACACGAAGGTCGCGCACTCCACATGCTGCACTCCTGCCTACATTAATAATCATGAGCAGGTGACGTCACTCCACATGCCGCATCCCTCCACAATAACCATTGACGGGTGACGTTACTCCACAATGGGACAAGCCCCGCCCCCCCTACCACGTCATTAATAATCATGAGCTCAACAATTTTTCTATTGAATATTTCAGATTTACTGCAATATCCACCCGTGCTTGAACGGGCAAATAAAGAGAGTTTATCAAGAGTCGACTCCTGTGTGCCGGTCTCAACTACTCGTGATCTGCAGGCAGAGCAGAGGCGTGCGGGGGGCGGGGGGCTTCAGTAACTCGTAGATTATATTCTTGGTTTCGATTTAAAGCTTTCGTGACTGCAAGGATTCATCTTCTTTGGTTCTTTCGGTAAAGTCACGTAGAATGAGAATAAAATAATAAATTGATAAAATAACACAAAATTCTCACGACGTTTCGGCCACAACACAAGAGGCCTTCTCGTCCCTTCACCTGATGAAGGCCGCTTGTGTTGTGGCCGAAACGTGAGAATTTTATTGTGTTATTTTATTTTATCAATTTATTATTTTATTCTCATTCTACGTGACTTTACCGAAAGAACCAAAGAAGATATCTTCTTGGTTCTTTCGGTAAAGTCACCACGTAGAAGGGTAACAATAAAATAAATTAAAAAATATAAAACAATAAAATTCTCACGACGTTTCGACTTGTTGTGGTTTTCACGCCTGATGATGATGATTGCTTGTGTTGCAGTCGAAACGTCGTGAGAATTTTATTGTTTTATATTACTTTATTATTTTTTATTGTTTCCCTTCTACGTGGTGACTTTACCGAAAGAACCAAGAATGTGAATCCCTGCAGTCACGAAAGCTTTCAATCGTTGTAGGCTATTAATGTGATGGGGGTGGAGGCAACGTTTCGTCCTCCAGCCCCCGTGAGCCGCAGTCGCAGAACGCCGCCGGGGCAAAATGTTAACTACCTCGCGTGGTACACAGGAGGTCGTTCAGTCCGACCCTGACTACTGCTGCTGTGTATTTGAAGTTTGCGTGTCTCTCTCTCTCTCCCCGTGGTCGCCGTGGATTTTTCTCTCTGGGTCCTCCGGTTTTTACCCTCCACATTTAGAATTCGACATGCGTTTTAAGAGTATTTGGCCGCTACACGTGTCCACATAAATAAGCCAGCCACTTCGTTGAGCTATCATTTGTGGTCAGGTCGCTTCTGAAAAAAAAATAGTTCAGTGGTCCTTGCACAGTAAATTAAAAGTAGTTATTTTTTCATCTTGTATTTTGTTGTCGATTTATTTTTAGTTGGACCCCGGGCCCAAATTTAACAAAGCGGTCCTCGCCTATCATCATCTGGGCTACACCAAATAAATGAAACTGAAAACTTAAAAAGAAACTGAATCTGGCAGTTCACCAACATTGGTTCACGTGAACCCGACACAGCTGATGGAGACACTGAACGGGCGCGTGACGTCACCCGGTTGCGTGACGTCACTCATCCATTCTGTGCGTGACGTCATTCCCCCTCCCCCCCCCCGCTGCGTGACGTAATTCCTTCCCCTGGACGAATGACGCCACTTCCCCGCCACGCTTGCGTGACGTCACTTCCCCCTTACCGCAAAATTTGAAACAATTTCCGCCCTCGTCGCCTGTCGCGCTCCGCCGTGGCTCTTCCCGCCTTCCCGCCTCCCCACCCTCCTCCCGCAGCTCTTCTCGCCTTCTCGCCTTCCCTTCCCGCCTTCCCATGGCGGCGAGACGCAAAGCCAAGAGCAGCGGCGCATCGTGCCCCGCGGAGTCGGGTGCGTCCCGGGGGACTGCCAAGTGCAGCCGCCCCACGTGCACCACGTCGGGTACACGCGAGTTTCACAGAGTTCATAGTTAGTTACTTAGTTACTTCGTAGTTCCCATCATTCACAGAGACGGAGATCCCTCCCCTCCCGTCCCCCGCGTAGCCCGTAGCGGCCTCCTGGGGCAAGGTGCCGTTCGCGAGCGCTAACGAAGGCCGACGCGGCACACGACGGGGGTGGCCAACACCACGCCCGCCCGGCCGCCTTTGTCTCCCTCAGTGGCGACCGTTGACTGCACACCGCACCGGAGGGTACCTCCTCGTCCTCCTCCCCTCCCGGATTAAAATAAAACTGCAGATAAATAGTTGGCAGGGGCGGCACCACACGCGTGCCAACAACATGGACGTTCTGTTGATGCAGATGGTGGTGGTGTTTCGTGTTTAAGTAATTATCGCATGGTCGAGTGCAATTAAATAATCTTTTGCAATTGAGAGCTGTCAAACTATTTTAACCGTTCTGATTGCTGTAGGCTCGGCGTTGCTTGTATTAAGTAATACAGCGTTTAACTTAATGTATATTCAGGTTATTTATTTGATTAACTGTAATCCAACCGGTAATAGATACTGCATATTCTCAGATTATAATGATCCATTTTAATGATATACATTCATACCTGTCAACCCATACGCTTTACCCGTATGCTTGTTCAGTTTTCAGGTCCACACCGCGGGCAGTCGTTTCGATACGGGCAAAACAATTGTCTTTGTGTTTGTCCCTTGTGACGGAACTTTGTATGATGAACGTTGAGATTTATAAGGGCACGGGTTCACCAATAAGGTCTGAATGTTCCTTCTTTGGTTCTTTCGGTAAAGTCACGTAGAATGAGAATAAAATAATACATTGATAAAATAACAATGAAATTCTCACGACGTTTCGGCCACAACACAAGCGGCCTTCATCAGGTGAAGGGACGAGACTGTCTGGAGGACAGCGCTGGAGCGATCAAAGCCAAGCTCAGATCGCGACCTTTAAGCTGTGTGAGAAGAAACAAAGCGCCTTGACAAAGAAATTAGCATAGCATTTAGCATTGAAATAGCTGAGTGATTAGCTTGTGACTGGTCACAGAAATGGCTATGTTAAAGTCAAAGCATACACATTCACAAAGGCACCTAGTACAAATCAAACAGGATAATTTAGCATTGAAATAACTAGGAGAATTTAGCATTGAAATAACCGAGTGATTAGCTTGTGACTTGTCACAGAAATGGCTATGTTAAAGTCAAAGCCTACACATCTGAGCTATTAACAGTAACTGGGTATACACTACACTATATAATGAATACTATATAGTATAGTAATACTATATGTAATAAAGGTAGGCACTGATAAGGGGTTGACAGGTACAGTACATTGACCCCCCCCTCTGGTCTTCGCAC